GAAGAAAGTGTAGGAAAAACTCTTGATGATGTTGGACTTGGGAAAGATTTTATGAAGAAGAGACTTCAGTGGCAATTGCAGTAACAACAAAAATAAACAAATGGGACTTAATTAAACTGAAAAGCTTCTGTACAGCTAAGAAGACAACAACCAAAGCAAATAGACAATCTACAAAATGGGAATGGATATTTGCATATTTTGAATCAGACAAAAGCTTGATAACTAGGATCTATAGAGAACTCAAATTAATACACATGAAAGAAGCCAACAATCCCATATATCAATAGGCAAGAGACAGGAATAGAACCTTCTCTAAAGAAGACAGATGAATGGCTAACAAACATGAAAAAATGCTCATCATCTCTAATTATTAGAGAAATGCAAATCAAAATCGCCCTGAGATACCACCTAACCCCAGCAAGAATGGCCCACATCACAAAATCTCAAAACTACAAATGATGGCATGGATGTGGAGAGAAGGGAACACTTTTACACTGCTGGTAAGACTGCAAACTAATACAACCTTTTTGGAAGGAAGTATGGAGAACCCTCAAAGGACTCAAGCTAGACCTCCCATTTGACCCAGCAATCCCATTACTACGTATCTACCCAGAAGGAAAAAAAAATCATTTGTCATAAGGACATTTGTACTAGATTGTTTATCACAGCTCAATTTATAATTGCCAAAATGTAGAAACAACCTAAATGTGCACCAACCAGGAACAGATTGGTGTGTGGTATACATATACCATGGAATACTATGCTGTGGTATATGTAACCATGGAACAAGCTGCGGTACATGTATACCATGGAACACCATTCGACCATTAAAAAAGATGGAGACTTTACATCTTTTGTATTAACCTAGATGGAGTTGAAACATATTCTTCTTAGTAAAGTATCACAAGAATAGAGGCATAAGAATCTGATGTACTCATGCTAATACGAAACCAGTAAACCCACATACGAGGGAAAACTCAAATCAATTCAAGGTAGGGGGCAGGGTAATGAGGGAGTAGGGAGAAAGAAGGAGTGATGGGAATGGGTGCTCCCACTTAATGGGCACAATGTGAGGGTGTATGGCACACATCTTATGCCCCCACAATTATAAGAGGGACTCTACTTAACATATGCAAACATTGTAACCTCATTCTTTGTACCCTCAAATTAAGCCAAAACAATAAAAGAAAGAACATTCACATACCTCACCATCTAACAATTCCACAGCTAGATACATTCCAAATAGCAACTTTAGGCATATATATATATATATATATATACCAGGAATATGGACGAGTATTTTCACAACTGCACCATTATCCAGAAAAATCTGCAAACAAGCTATATATGAGAGAATGAATAAATAAATGGTATTTTATTCACCTAATGCAAATGTATGGCATTTATAGCAAAAAAAAAAAAAACCTCCCAAAAATACAAAGATGTATTTTGAGAATGAACTGCGAAGGGGCTCTTTGAGCAGCCTCCTCTCCCTTTACACAGAAGCAGCTATTTGGGGGAGCAGGCTATGTTCATAGCAATTTACTTTCTTGGGTAATGAGGCCTGTTGTGAAGCGAGGCACCAGGGCGTGGATTCAAAGCTCCCACACCAGAGCCAAGGTCCTTGGAAGAGAACATGCTGATGCTACTAACACAAAGCATAATTGCCATGTGCAACAATAGTCAAAGGAACACTCTGCTGCTACAGAAAATGAAAATTTCCCAAAACATTTAGTGCCACGGAAAAGACTCATGACATAATTTTAAAAGTGCACTTTATGGAGTTGCATTTGTGATAGAGTGCCAATTATGTACGAAAGTATATCTTGGTGCTCTTTTCTTGCAGAAATCTCATTTTAAAAAACACTACTTCTAGCAAAAGATGTTAACAAATAGAACATACTTTGCTCATGGCTGGGAAGAATCAACACTGTTAAAATGTCCATACTACCCAAGCCATCTATAGATTTAATGCAATCCCCATCAAAACACCAATGTCATAATTTGAAGAACTTGAAAAATAATACTTTGTTTCACATGGAACCAGAAAAAAATGAATAGCCAATACAATTTTAAGAAATAAAAACAAATCTTGAGGCATCAGATCACCAGACTTCAGGTTATACTACAAGTCTATAGTGATCAAAACAGCATGATACTAGCACAAAAATAGAGATATAGAATCTGTGGAATAGAATAGAGAACCTAGAGATGAACCCAGCCACATATCACCATCTGATCTTTGATAAACCAACAAAATCATGCACTAGCTAATCAGTTCTCCCAGCACCTCTCATCATTGACAGAAATTGACTCTTGCTGGATAAAAGATTTAATTTAAGACATGAAACAATAAAAATGCTAGGATTGAAAGTGTGGGGAAAACTCTTGATGAAATAGGCCTAGGAAAAGATTTTATAAAGAAGACCCCCTTGGCAATTGCAGCAACACTGAAAATAAACAAATCTGTGATCAAGCTAAAAAAGCTTCTGCACCATTAAGGGTACAACAACTAAAGCAAACAGACAGCCTTCAGATTGCGAGAAGATATTTGCATGCTATGAATCTGAGAAAGGGTTAATAACTAGAACCTACACAGAACTCAGATTAATCAACAAAAAAAGAGCAAACAACCCCATTTATAAGTGGGCAAGAGACTTGAACAGAAACTTCTCTGAAGATGACAGATGAATGGTCAACAAACACATGAAAAAATTTTCATCTTCCCAGTCATCAAAGAAATGCAAATCAAAACCACTCTGAGATATCACCTAACCCCAATGAGAATAACCCACATCACAAAATCCTGAAACTGCAGATTCTGGCATGAATGTGGAGAGAAGGGAACACTTTTGTACTGCGGGTAGGATTGCAAACTAATGCAGCCTCTGTGTTAAGTATGGAGAATTCTCAAAGAGCTAAAAGTTGACCTTTCATTTGATCCTGAAATCCCATTACTAGGTATCTACCCAGAAAAAAAAAATTTACCACCAGGACATTTGCAGTAGAACATTTATTACAGCTCAATGCAGAATTGCCAAGTGTCTATCAACCCAGGAATGGATTAACAAGTTGTGTTACATGTATATCATGGAATATTAATCAGCCACTGAAAAAGATGGAGCCTTTGCATCTTTTGTGTTTACTTGGATGGAGTTGAAACATATTCTTCTTAGTAAAGTATCACAAGAATGGGGGAAGAAAGTATCCAACATACTCAAACTCAAACCTCATACTCCTGGGCTTAAGCAATCCTCCTGCCTCAGTCTCCCAAGTAGCTGTAACTACAAGCATGAGCCATGACACCTGGCTAGTTTTTTTCTATTTTTAGTAGAGACAGAGTCTCACTTTTGCTCAGGCTGGTCTTAAACTCTTGAGCTCAACTAATTTACCTGCCACAGCCTCCCAGACTGCCAGGACTACAGGGATGAGAACTTCTCTATTAATTTTTGTATATACCATGATTCTCATAAGAGATTTAACATTTTTTCCTAGTTAAAAATAATCTAGAAAGAATACTAACCGCTGATACTGATGATGGAAAGAAAAGGTTGAAGAAAGAGAAGTTTCTTGTCTAGCAAATAACTTGACAACTTACTTTAGTACTTTCTCAGTGGAATGATCTGAGACCCAGAGAGGATATGTGAGGTAAGCTCTGTGAGTCCCAGAATTTTGCTGTATATCTACTCACCGGGAGCAAGCACTCAATAATAAATGAACAAATAAATAAAATGTTCAGGAAGGTTAAAGATTTACTATTGCTTATAAAAATGACTAGAAGGAAAAACATTGAAATTTTCACATTACTTTGGTTTGGTATGATTACCAGGTTGTCAGAGTTATGGGTCGGTAATTTTCTGTGATTTAAAATAAAATATAGGAAAGATTATTTTTCTTGTAGCCACGAGGGGGAAGGGAAATAACACTAAAATACAACGTTCCAAAATCAAGGAGTGAATTTGTTCTGCTTCTTCCAGTTCTGTAGCTGATTGACTGCTTAGTATATGCAGGGGATATAATTTCTCTAAAGCAGCAGCTCTCAATCTTGGCTGCACACATGCGTCACCTGATTTTACCCCATCAGAAGGACCACGCATCAGTAAGACTTGAGGCTTCCTAAGTGTTTCTAATGCACAATCAGGCTTGAGAAATTTATCAGGAAAATTTTCCAGAAAATAAACTCCATCATAAACGTTAGCCAAGGTAGGTATAACAGAGAAGAGAAGTAAATACTGGATTAGCTCAGAAACTTGAACTGAAATCCCAGGATATAGGCTGGGATCCCACAAAAAGAATCCTAAAACCTTGGCTCTGAGACAATATTGCAGTTTGACCTTTGCAAAATCCCTTCCCTTCTCAGAACCTCAATTTTCTCATCATTAGAATGACGAGGCTGTCCTCATGTCACATGTTTGTGCTCTCATATACACCCACGTTTAAATCCCACGTCCTGCATATACTAGTTGTGTGACACTGGATACATCACTTTGCCTTTGTGCTATCTTTCTTTTCTTTTTATGGATATTAAAACCTTTTAATGTTTCACATTGTTTTTCAGAAGATTTGTAATAAAAAATGCATGGAATTTAGTATGTGTTTAAATACAGTGGGTAATTACAGAATCTAAAAATGTCTACAAAGTATAATCCTTCTTGTGGCACAGAACATTCCACTCCACTAAGAAGAGAGAATCACACCACGATTAGGCATGATATCTCACACTGCCTGTTGCTTTAATTTCCGAGATTGGCAGACTGGGAGAAAGAAACAAATTAACAAAATCCATAACAACAACAATCAACTGCCTCAATTCCCTTCACCTCTTTCCCTTTCCCCATTTTCTTAACTAGATGCAATGAGGACATCTTCCTTATCAATAATAGCAACAGCCCATCTCATGCAGTTATTGCAAAGGTTAAACAAATAGATATTTGTAAAGTATGCTACACAACGTTTGGCACCCAGTAATGCTGTGAGAATGGCTGTCCCCTGCCTCTTACCAAATAGCCATTGAAGAAACAGAAGGGCCGGGTGGGTCTGATGCGGACAGCAATGTTTCCCTCTTCTCCAGGAGGCAGGATGTTGCCTTCATCATCCACAATCTGGTGGACAGATCACAGGATGGCGTATCCCTGAGTGTCTGCACAGCCAGGGCTGCTCACCAGCCAAGCCTGCACTAGCCAGCCACCACTGTCTTGCTCCCCTTCAAAGCAACCTTCAACAGCAGTTGGGAGAGGCTGTCTACCTGGACATCGTAAGGTAGGGATGCTTTCCCCATGGATCCAGACTTGATTTTCATGCCTTTTGTATTGGCACAGATTACAACCTGGAGAGAAACCAGCATGAATAAGAAGGAAACTCCTCCCCTAGCTTCTTCCTGGGGCATGCCTTTTTCTCACTCTGCCTTCTCTTTCCCTCCTTTTTTTTCCTCCCTCAATTTTCTTCTCTCCTCTCTCACTTCTTTCTTCTTTACTCTCCTTTCTTCCTCCCTTATTTCTTTCCTTTTCTCTTCCTTTCTTCTTCCTTCACTCTTTTCCTCCCTTCTTTTATGTTTTTCTTTCTCTCTCCCTCCCCTCCCCTCCCTCCCTCCCTCCCTTCCTTCCTTTCTTCCTTCTTAATCTTCTCCTTTCTTCCTTCATTTTCTTTCTTTCTTCCTTCCTTCCTCTCTTCATTTCTTTCTTCTTGCCTTTCTTTCTTCTCTTCTTCCCATAATCAACAAATACTTAGGGACCACTGTAATGGGCATTGACACATGAAGAACTTAACATGAGACAAAAGACTCAGTTGATTTCCCCGTCTCTGTCCAGATAACTGTAGAGGACACTACATAGGATCTTGGGCTCTGATCAGAGACAGGTATAGGCTTTCTTGGTGGAGAAAAACAATCCCCTTAACCCTGAGAGTTGGTTTGTTGGTCATGGGGTAATTTTGAAACTGCGTCTTTAAACCAAAAGGGAAGAAAAACTAATGGGGCTTTGCCATCAGCTTCCCCACCCCCTCACCCCCGGTTGTCAGGGAGATGCCAGCCATAGAGGCAGGAGGTGCTACATAGTGGCCCAGGGTAGAGACCTGGCCACAGGAGCACTCACTGTTTCAGACTGTCCATAGCCTTCATGAAGCTCCAGGCCTGTCTGCTGCTTCCACTTCTCTCTCACATCAGGGTTGAGGGCTTCTCCTCCTGTTAGACAGTGCCTCAGGCTCTGAAACTGGTACCTTCCTCAAGCAGGAGGACAAAAACATCTATGTCACCATCCCCACCACATCCTCCAGCACTGCTGCTGGGATCCAAACACCCAAAGGCACTAGATGGTAACTCCCCCGCTCTTTAATCTGTTCTAAGTACCCCATCCTCTGGTTTTGTAGTCCGGTTCTTTGTGAACAGATCATTAAAAATAATCAATCCTATCTGTGTTTGGAATAAAATCAGAACCTCACACAGTAAGTTTTCATATAACATGGTGAATTCCAGGTGATTTGGCCAAAACAATTTAATTGGAAACACACTGATTGATCATAAATTGGTTGAGACCTCAAAGATAAATCAATTAAAAATTATGAAGATTTAAAGTAGCCTTCTAAGAATTCCAAAATTCCAATGAATAGACCAAAAAATCCTAGAAATGTTAAATATGTTGGAAACTACCTCTCAGTTCATTAAATTATCTTATGTATTTAAAAAACTGCATCAAATTATCCTAAGTGTTTAAAAAAACAGTGATTGCAAATATATTTTCAAATACTTTTTGATCAAACTGGAGTAATTAAGTTCCTTAGTATTACCAAGTATCATTCAACCAAATAGTTCCTAAACAAATTATTCAGAGCCTGTTTTCAGCTAAAATCATGTAGAGATATACAGTACTAATCAATAAATGGGATCAATTCTTATGTTATAGAAGAATTCACCTTGAAAGTCACATAAGAATGCCCTCTTTTACCCACTTTATGGCCGTATAAGTGATATCAGGGGAGATGAGAAGGGAGAGGATGTCAGAGAAGATAGAAGAGGGAGACAGAGGTCACGGGCAATAGGTCAGAAGAACAACAGGCCTTTCGTCACATATCCCAGCAACTAGCCCTGTCCTGTCAGAAGATGTTGCTTTGGACTCACCTAGGATGGGTGCCAGCCACAGTGTCTTGTTTTTTTCTTTTGGGTGCCGAACAGCATGCACTCAGAGAAATATCTAGCTAGGGTTAGTCTGATGCTAAAGGATAAGACTTCTACTGTGGTGGGCTTCTTAGTCCCATCAGCCCTGAGATCCCTGGCCCCAAATCCCATTCCATAGGTATCTGGCAGTTATTTAACAATATTTCTAATCTCAAAGAAGTATAGATGTGTTGCTAAAGAAATAGCCTGTGGTATACAGTGGGGAGAAAGCCTGCCTCAATTGCTGAAATTTCGGACTGCCTTAGTTCTATTCAATTTCATTCAGATTCAAATTTCTGGGGGCCAGGAGTTTGTCTTTGAGGGGTATCTGTGAGAGCTACAGGCATGGATGCTTGTTGATGTGTCTGTGATAGAAAGAGACAGATAGAGAGAGAGAAAGAGAGAAATATAAAGAGAGACAGAGAGAAAGAGTTGGAATGTGAGGGTAAGTGTGCATGTAGGTACCTGTGCTGTATGTTCACACACTTCAGCCTTCAAAAATCAAATGGAAGCACTGTACCTGGTCAGGTCCTCCTGCACAAGCAGCCGAAAGATGGTTGGGACACAGCAGAAGGTGGTTATTGGGAATGCACAGAGGGTCTAGACAAAAATAAAGAGTGGAAGATCTTCTTAGAGTTGCTGGGGTAAGCCTTCTTGGATATGGGACAGGTGAACTGGGTCTTTATATTCTTGCTACCAAAGCAGTGAAGTTAAAAACTGTGGCATCCAGCCTCCAAGATACCCCTCAATGATCCCCACTTCCTGGTATTTGTACCCTATGGGGTCCCCTCCATATTGTATTATGGTGGGTCTGTGTGATCAATAGTGTACTGTCAAGCTGAGGGATATCACTTTCGAGATAAGGTTATACAAAGGCTCCTGCCTCTATCTTGAATGAGCTGATTCTCTGATCCCTACTCTGGGGGAAGCAAGCCACCATGTCTTGAGTACATTCAAGCTATCCTATGACAAGTGCACAAAGGGAGGAACTGAAGCTGCTAGCCAACAGACAGTGAAGAACTGAAGTCTTCTCAAAGCAACTGTGAGTTATTTTCCACCCTCAGTCAAGCCTTGAGATTATTGCAATACTAGCTGATATCTTTTATTATTATTACTATTGTAAAATACACCCCACATAAAGTTACCCATTTGAACCATTTTTAAGTGTACAGTTCGGTAGCACTAAGTCTCTTCATGTTATTGTGCAACTATCACAATACCATTCACCTCCAGAACTATTTTTATCTTTCCAAACATAAACCATGCAGATGCACATATGGGTACTTAAGGGAAAAGTCATATCTTGATATACTTACATTACTACTAATAATGATTTAATAAACTTAAAACCAATATTCAATTGTTTATTATAAATAATTTACAAATTAAATTAAAAAATAATTGCAGACAATGGACAAAAGAGAACAGAGACAAGAAAAAAGTAAACCAGAGAAATCCAAAACCTGGCACAAAATGCACTGCTTAAAACCTGGCCCTTCTAGACTCAAAAGACTATCTTACTAAAATTTCACCCCTACCCCAACACAACTCCGCTGTACAAAGTCACTGAACAGACAAAGCTCACCCCAGGTGGAACTGCCCTCTCAGAAAAAATGAATACTTTTGAAGAATTAAAAAAATACAGTTTGTTTGAAATGTCATTAAAGAAAGGGTCTCTCAAGACTAGATTTAAAAAAGTTTCCTTTCTTCTGTCACCTCAGTATGGTCAAAAATGTCAATCTGTCTAAAAAGACTTCTTAAATTTAATCACCACTCCTATAATTTATATACATAACCCAATTAGGGTCTACTTTGATATTCTACTCCTAAAATATGTTTCCTGTCCCATACCCTATTTATGTTAAAATCCAGGAGGAAGTATGTACTTTTATTTTCGAAGCTTTCTTTTTACTGTATGCCCTGCTGGAGTTTAAGCTTACTGGACTTTCTGATTTACATTCTGCTGGCTTTCACCATCTTCACTTTCCAGATGAAGTGTCCCTTTAATCCTTCTCAATTTAGATCCTGACATTAGGGAGGGACAACCTATGCTGGCAGTCAGTTCCTGATATTTGGCATAAACTGCACAAACTTGTGAGAGCGCCAAATCCTAACCACTAGACCACCAGGGAAGGTAAACTGCACAAACATGTAAAGGAGCATCAGACTACACAGGTAAAATTCCAGATCTGACCTTCAATGGTCTCTTGATAACCCGATGGAGACAGAGAGAAGGGAGAGAGGAGACAGGGCCGACAGCAGGCCCTGGAACAGCACTTTTCAGATGGTGGCTAACACTGAGGTAGAAATTTTTCAGAGACAGAAGTACCCTGGAGGCTTAGGCAAGAAGACATCAAGAATATGCCCTGCTCTGGGGGCTGCACCTTTGTCTCCTCCTGCAGAGGGCTTGGTGCTGTTGGCCTCTCTGGGTCCTTCATTTCAATGCAAATGGACTGAGTAGGTGTTATTGAATTTGCATCGAGTTGCACCAACATCATGTAAGTGTAAGAATATAGTATTTGTCCTTCCATCACTGGCTTATTTTACTTAGCATAATGACCTCAAGGTTCATCCCTATTGTATCATGGATGACAAGATTTCCTTGGGCTTTTTAATGCTGGGTAATATTCCATCGTGTGTATACACTATATTTTGTTTGATTATTGATCTGTTTGATGATGGACACTGGTGTTGCTTCTGCCTTCTAGCCACTATCAACCATGCTGCTATAAATATGACATCTTGATGTAACCTCACCAAAGATCCTCTTCCAGAATAACCTAGTTAAGACATTTCCAGATTCCTGACCATCAGAATCTGTGAGAAAATAAATGTTTATGATTTAAGCTGCTAAGTTTTAGAGTAATTTATTACATAGCAATAGATAATAAAAAAAACTATTTCAGGGACAGTGATGGTGGAAAGAGAAGCTGATTAAGCCTTACATGAATAATGATAATGATCAGCTTGATAATAATAATAATAAAAGTGTTAAGAGCCTACTATGTAAGCCCCTGTGCCTTTTACCATTGCATTCTTACAAGTATATAGAAACATGTTATTCCTTTCTTTCTTAAAGATGAGGCTGAAACTGAGGCTCAGGGAGGTCAGGAGACTTTCCCAAGGCCACACAGCTATTAAATAGAAGACGTAGAATGACAGTGTAGGTCTGACTCAGGCACAGCCTGTTACCATGTGATACAATTGCCTCAATGCAAAAAGCATGGGCAGATGGGCTCCGGGATGTTTTAAGAAATGGTGATTAGGATATGGTGGGCAGAAGAAAAGTGTCCTGTGTCTTCACTGGGGGCACTAATTCTCCTCCCTCCCCATAAGAAGACCCTGGAAGGCTGACCAAGAGTTCACTAGGATTCTACAGTTGGGTGAAATACTCGTGTTAAGCACTATGGTGAGCACCATGTGGAGTCGAGTCCTAGACTGATCTTGGCCAAGATTTTGATACATAACTAAGGGGTTGATCGGAGTATAGGGAAGTGATGGAGAGAGAGAGACAGTCCATGCAGAAGAGATAGAATATGCCATGGTTTGGAGATATGACATGGTCTGTGTCTAGGAATCTAGCTAGAATATAAACAATGATTGAAGGTAGCCAGGTGAGCAGGAACCAGGTTATAGAAGATCCTGGGTATCTTTTTGGTTAATATCAGCACCAAAGAAGCCTTAAGGTCATTGGTTCATGTCTTCTCTCCTGCAACGGCAAAATTCATATCCTACTCATCTTACCTATACTCAACATTTAAGAGGGTTTTTGTTCTTTTTTTCCTCTTACATTCAGGATGAATTTGGCATCAACTTGAGGCAGCTCGTGCACAAAAATGCAAGATCCATTAGGCCAGGCAGAGAAAAGAGTCCAGGCTGCTTTCACCCAACCAGTGTCCGTTGTATTCCACATAATGTCTGACTCCGTCAACGCCACCCACCGCCTGCCAAAAATTAGAAAAAGTCAGCACCCTTCTCAATGACTCTTCCTTTAAAAAGGGTTACATTGTCCATATCACTGTATTTGGAGCCCTGCCCACCGTGGGTACTTGCTTAAGTTTGGCAAAACTATACAAGAGCCATCAAGTTAACCATTATCTCAACAAGCATTTCTTGAATATTTTTGATGTACGTATGCCTGAAGCTGAGGATACAGAACTAAAAAGACAGATCCCATGTTTTTGAGGAGTTCACAGTCTAGTGGAAATAACATGTAAGGATGCAGATAATCTCAATACAGTGTGAGGAGGGCACTTTATTCAGCCAACATTTATTTAGCACACAATCTGGACTTAGCATTAAGGATACAGAAATGAACGATTAGTCTTGCTTTGAGGGGCTTATAGTTTAGTATGTGTAAACATCCAGGAAGCCTCTGGACAGCATGATTTAATAGAGTTAGCACAAAGCCTTGTGCAGTTACAGAGGATAGGCACCTAACCAGAACAAGGGTAGATATGGGGTCTGAGAAATGCTTCTGCAAAGGAGGTGATGCTTGATTTAGATGTAAAGGATGCATAAGAATTGCATAGGTGATACAGAGAGAGAAGGAAGAGCATCTCAGGAAGGGGAAACAGTTTCTGCTATCTGAAGATAGAAAAGATGTCCTGCTACATCGGACTCCAGGACACAGGCAGTCCTGGCCTATCTCCTCCCCTTTGACTGCTCCTTCTCAGTCTCCTCTGCTGAATCCTCTTGATCTCCCCCTTTGATGCAGAACTTCTGATCTCATCCAATCTCATGGTCTGAAATACCAACTTTATGCTGATAAATTCAGCAAGCATGCATCTTTCTCATTAACTCAAGACATATATACATGTCCAAATACCTACTCAAGAGAGCAACACTTTTGGCTGGGCACTATGGCTTGCGCCTATAATCATAGCACTCTGGGAGGCCAAAGTGAAAGGATCCCTTGAGCTCAGGAGTTCGAGACCAGCCTGAGCAGGAGCAACCCATCTCTAATAAAAATAGAAAAAATCATCTGGCTATCATGGCAGGCACCTGTGGTCCAACCATTCAGGAGGCTGAAGCAGGAGGATTCCTTGAACCCAGAAGTTTAAGGTTCCCGTGAGCTATGATGATGCCATGGCACTCTATCCTGGGGCAACAGAAGGAGGCTCTGTCTCAGAAAGAAGAGAGAGAGAGAAAAAAAACATTCCAACACTCCACTTTTAACTAGGGAGGTGGATATGTATAATAAACCTCTCAAGTCTCAATGCCAAAAGTGAACTTTTTGTTTTCTCCCAGCAGACAGCTCATCCCACAGTCTTTTCCCTATCATCTAATGCTTCTGGTAGTTCAGGTCAGACAACTTTATGTATCATCATTCCTGACTTTTCTCTTTTATTACACCTTTAATCTGGAAGCAAATCTTATTAGGTCTATGTTCAAAATACATTCAGAATCGCATCTTTTCTCCCTCTACTACTACTGCCCTGGGAAAGCCACTGCATGTGCTGGTCTCTTGATTGGTCCTAAGCTTCACTGTTTTCCCAACATTTGGAGTAAGCCTTTTAAAAAACAAATCAGATTATGTCACTCCTTTGCTCAAAATATCCAATGTTTCTCAAAAACATTAAACATAGAATTAGCATGTGATCCAGCAATTCCACTTCTGAGTCTAAATCCACAAGAATTAAAAGCAGGGTCTCAAGCAGACATTTGTATCCCACTGTTCATAGCAACATTATTGACAATAGCCAGAATGTGAAGGCAACCTAAGTGTCTATCGCCAGATGAATGAATTTTTTTTTGCAGTTTTTGGTCAGGGCTGGGTTTGAACCCGCCACCTCTGGCATATGGGGCCTGCACCCTACTCCTTTGAACCACAGGCGCTGCCCCATGTGAATGGATTCTAAATATGCAATATACCTATATGACAGGCTATGTTTTAGTCTTAAAAAGAAAGAAAATTCTGACACACATTACAGCATGGATGAACCTTGGGGGACATTATGCTAAGTAAAAGTCAAATTTCAAAACAAAAGAACAAATATTGTATGTCACCACTTACATGACATGCCTAGATTAACAAATTCATCAAGATGGAAGGCAGAATAGATGTTACTGGGAGCTAGAGGTGAGGGTGAAGGGGCGTTGTTGTGTTATGGCTACACAGTTTCTGTTTGGAAGGATAAAATAAGGCCTGGAGATGGATAGTGATGATAGATATGCAAGAATATGAATGTATTGAATGACATTGTAGTGTCAAAAAATGGTTAAGATGCTAAATATTATTTATATTTTGTTACAATTGAAACAAACAAACAAACCTGTTTTCAGAGTAAAGCTCAGAGACTTCAAGATCTTACCTAATTTGCTCCTTGTTGGTTCTCTGATGTGAAATTTGCCACTTTTACCCTCTCTCCACCTCCTCCACCTCCCTCACCCACTTTTTGCTTTTGGACCCTTCCAACAAGCTGCCCCTGTACCTTCCACTGGCCACAAAACCTAGTCCATAGCTGCAATGGGAGTGTTCAATCATCTTGGGGGTTCCAGTGGTCCCGCTGGTGAAGTAGATAACCATTGGATCTTGACTCTTGGTCCTCACACAATTGTGCTCTGTAGATGCCTCTCTGTAAAAATGTAAAAATACTAGGTAGTACTACCATAGTAAAAACAGTTTGTGTCACCAATAATATGTATAATCACAATATGACCACCGCTTTGCCAATACCACATGCGAGGTGCTATGCCATACCATCTATAACACCTCTTGGGATGGGTACTATCATTATAACTCTTCTGAAGATAAGGAAATTGCAATCAGAATGGTTACTTGATTCATTCAAAAGCATCCATGCTCTTTTACCAGGGCAGGAGAACTGTGCTGTGGAACACACATGTCCTTGTTCATAACTTGGCATACATAGACACAGCCCTACCCAAATTCCTCATAATTTAGAGCTATTTCCTAAAGGTTGCCCAAATTCTGGGGATTGACATCTGAGTAATTCCCAAATTTTTGTGATCCAGAGAATCAGCTAACCCAATGGTTCTCAATCCTAGCTGTACCTTGAGGTCCCCTGATAAGTTTTTAGAAGAAATAACATTACTTGGGCCCCACATGAACAAAATAAAATCAGAATCTTTGATTGAAAAATAGAGAAATCTCCCCAGGTAATTCTAATGACAGCCAAAGTTGAGAAATACTGATCTAGGCCAACTTGGCTACTCATCAAAATGACAAGGGGCTGATTTTTAAAAAATGCAGATTCCTAGGGCCCTTGGTCAGATATGTCGAGTCAAAGAGGTAAGATGTGGGAACTTGGGATCTGTATTTAAAAGAGCAATCAGGTGAATCTGATGCAGTTAGTGTGAGATAGGCATTTTGGACTCTATGGTGTAGTCCCCTGAGCAGCTTATTTTGGGTTCTGGCCTCCATTCAGGGCAAAGTTTCAAATCCCCAGGTAGGCTTCCACCAGGGCCGTTCTCTAAGGAAAATGTGGCTTTGACTTCATTCACTAACTACTTTTAGGAATACTGGGAAAATCACTTTAATTTTCCAAGTCTCAGTTTCTTCACCTGCAAAACTGGGTAGAAGTGCACAACGTAGGTTTGTTTGGTTTTTTCCCCCCAAGGGTTAAATAAGATGATGGCTTATTTATTATGGTGTTCTGGACACTCACAGTTATGTTTATCACAAAATGAAAGTTCATTAAACTTTGCTGCGTGAATGAATATAGGTGAATGACCACTAGCACAGTACCTAGCATACACTAAGTACCCAGTACATGGCAACTATTTCATTATTAATTGACCACCTGCCATGTACTAATTGCATCATATAGGTTATCTCATATATTATACTAATAATAACCACTGTCACCATTATAGAGGCAAATGAGGCTCATAAAAGCTAGTGACAAATCCAGCACTGATTGAATGAATGACCTTGAATGCTAAGGTGATCACCAGAATTATGCCTCGGGTCAGTTGGCTGCCAAAGCTTTCCTCGCTTCACTCTCAATTTGGAATCAACAGTGCATGTCATGTCTCATTGCTTAAAAGAAAAATGCCTTGACTTTATTTTTGTGCTGTTGTCTTAGAGACCCCCAGCTCACCTGAGGAGTTCCCTGAAGTTCAACCACCCTGGCCGACTACTGTCAGACACCAGCAGCTTAGTCTGGAGGGAGGGACAGTCACCACTAATGGCATCCACCCTCTGAGCTAGGGAGTCACTGGTGATAATGGCCTTGGCCTTGCTTGACTGTAGCCGGTACTTGAGGTCCTTCTCCGTCAGCTGAGAGATACCCGGAATCATGATTGTTCCTGACAGCACACAGAGAGATTTTGACTGAATAGTGTAGAGGCCAGAGGGGAGGGCAGGAAGGGGCTAGAAAGGGTTGTGGTGCCTGGGCTGGAAGATGTAATAATAACAATAGTACTGAAATCCAGAAAATATTTACAGAGCATTTACATGTGCTAAAAATTTCAATGAATTTATGTACATTATTTCATTGAATTTGTGCAACTCTGAGAAAGTACATTCTATTATTATATTTACTTTGTAGATTTAAGAAAAAATCCCATGACTTAGACCTTTATGCCTTAAATAAATGGATTAACTTGCCCAAGATCACACAGTTAATAGGCAGTAGAGCTGTAATTGTGAAGCAAGACAGAGGTAAACCTCTTGACCCTTGTATTATATTGCCTTAGAGATTACCTGGCTCAGCAGTTTTCTATGCCTTTCAAACAAAATGCCAGTGAATCATAATCATCACATGGTGAAGGGTTGCTGGTGGGTGTGCTTACGGGGATGAAGAAGGTATAGCAGGTGGGGGCTCCAGGACCCCCATATGGCTTCAACCAAAACCACTCTAAGGTTAGCTGAGCCCATCCCCTCCCAAGGGGTAGGTGTGAGGAAGCAGAAATCAAGAGCAAATTTTAATCAGATACTTGAAAACCTCTTGAGTGACTAAGAATGCAGGTTAAAACACTCTATTTGTCCAACATTCTCATCTCACAGATGAGAAGAAAGAGGTCACTAAAAGAATCCAAACATGTGTACTCGTTGTTTAGCTCCCACTTTTAAGTGAGAATGTGTAGTATATTCTGTTTGAGTTATTTCACTTAGGATAATGGCCTCCAGTTTCACCTATGTTGCTGCAAAGACCACGATTTTGTTTTTTTACGACTCAGTAGTACTCCATGTAGTATCCAGTCATGTTATATTTTATTGTTATATTAAGAAAGTCTGGCTATTTCCAGACAGATCTCATATATATATATATGTACACATACCCACACACACATTATTTTTTCTTTCTCTAATCATCCATCAATGTACAATTAGGTTGAGTCATAGGTGTACAGAGTGAAATAATAAACTATGGAGACTCCAAATGGTAGGAGAGATATAAAATTGCCTATTGGATGTACACTAAAAGCCCAGAATTCACTACTGTGCAATATATACACACAATGAAAATGCACTTGCACCTCCTAAATCTATAATAATAATAATAATAATTAGTCATCCTGCCACAACCAGTTAGTGATGGCAGAAGACAGAGGCAGGAGTCAATCTCAAATAACGTGACAACCAAACCTAAGTTTTTATTGACCTTCATTCTCAAAGTTTTGCAGAATTTAAATCCCAGAATTTAAACTTTTGGAGGTGAATAATGTGGTT